GCCCGGGTTCCAAGTCCTGCGCAGCGCAGCCTGTCCCCGTTTGCACACTGAGAGCTGAGCACCCGGGAAACAACCAGACCTCTCCACGCCGAGGCAGCCCCAGCGACTGGCGTGAGACCGACACCCTTTACCTCTGCTCCCTGGCCAGGGCCGCCTGGAAAGCCATTCCGGGCTAGGAGGTCCCCGCTGTGCTTCCCGGAGGCCAGGCCCCCCCGCCTGGGTAGGGGTCCGGGAAATGAGCCAGCGAGGTGCGCAGGGCTGTGGCCCAGCCCGACAGCCCCCTTGTTTCTCGCTCTCCCTGCTGGTGGAGCTGGGGAGCCTGGACACCGAGGAGAATTTCCCTGCCACCATCAAAGGAGCTTGCCAGCCAGAGGCCCAGGAAGTGGGGTGCTTCCTAGAAGATGTGGTGGCCCTCAGGCCCTGGCCCTTACTAGCTTGCTCTCCCTCCTCCGCCCTCAATCAGGAGGGCCTCAGGGTGTCCTCTGCTGCCAAAACTTCTCCAGCCATGGCAGTACTCACCTGGTCCCCACCCTGGGTGCTAGGCTGAGCTGCCCTGCCTGGTCCGTGGTGGGGACTGAGCTCTGCTCAGGGAGCTGTCTGTGGAGGCCAGAGCCTCTGGGTTTTGTCTGGTCCTGAGCTCCTGCCTGACCCTTGCTGGGGCCCTGGCATCCCAGGAGGAGACTCAGCATCAGAGAGTCCCTGGTTAAAGGCATGTTTGTCCAGATGCATGCTGCATGCTGGGACCTGAGGGTTCTGGGGCTCTCCTGGTAGGGAGCTGATCAGACAGAGGTCTGAGCCCTGGCTAATAGGGCCGTCAGAAGCCATGGATGATGGGAGATCCCCCAGAAAGGACCCTATATCAGCAGCATTCACAAGGCCAGTGGGAACTGGATGGAAGCGAAACCCTCCTGTCTCCTGTCAGGTGACTGAGATGTCACCCCTCCTACAGCAGGGAAGTGTCTGCCCTCTGCCCCTTTGTTCTCAGCCACTCAGGGTCCCTCCACTGTGGGGGAAATGTGTACCTGTCTCTCGGGGCTGGGGAGGCCTTCTGTCTCTTACCTTAAGGATTGAGTTGGGCACGTAGGGCCGACCTAAAACACCCCTTGCCCCAAAGAAGTATCATTGACTTGTGTGGCTGGAGCAGTCTGACTGGTCCTTCCCTCTTTCCCAATCTAGGCCTCAGAGACACCAAAGCCCCACGCAGGACTCCCATGGAGGACTGGGCCTTTGAGTACTTCAGCCATCAGCTTCTCCTGCCTTGCACAGAAGGAGATAAGTGGGCAAGAAAGGGGGTATTAGAAATCCAGACCCCAAATGACCCCGCCACGGGCCATTTTGTTATACACCACCTGCATATTCCTCAGGTGATGCCCTTTCTCTGCTGAGGACCAGTAGCCACATTCACAGGCCGACAACTACATTAGAATACAGGACACCTCTCCCACAGGTACGCAGACATCATTGGCCACCACATAGTCACCACGTCACACGCTGTGGAGACACTCGCGTCCTTTACGGAAAGCACACACTCACCCTCTTCCACAGGACTCCACACGCGGCAAACCTAGAAAACTTGCAGACTCTCTCCTCCAGCATCCTCGCCACCATGTGTTCCACTCGCGGTTCTAGTCCCATAGCCTAGCACAGTGCCTGATGTGTAAGAGACACTCAATAAACATTCATGGAACAGATTTCTAAAACTGTTCCTGAAAGACCTGCCGGGACAGGACGTCTGCACAGCCCCCAACCCTCTCTGTCACACAGGCTCTCACCTCAGGCTTCCTCCCTTGCAGAGCGCAGTCCCACAAACACAGGGTAATTAGGTCACCACACAGACCCCTGAGCTAAAGGACAACCCCTGGCCCAGGGTCTCTCCCACAGGGGAAGGGAGCCATGTGGGATCCAAAGAGGTCTCCCCTGGAGCCTCAGCTTCCTCTCCTCCTCCCCCAACCCAAGCCTCAGCCCCAGCTGCTCCCCTCTTAATTGCAGGCACTTCTGTGTCCTGCAGGGCCGGAGATGCCGCTGGGATGGGGGAGGTTACTAGGTGGCCTCCAGACGGAAGACAGGGTTTGCAACTCACCTAGATGGCTGTGTGCACTGCAGGACACTCACAGGCAGGAGCCAAATGTGGGGCTGAGAAAGCAGCTTCTGATGAATGGACTCTAAAAGCAACGTTAGGGTCCAGTCTTGCCCCTTCCTAGTAGCTTTTAGTACCTCAGTTTTTTCCTCTGTAAAGTGGAGATAACAAAACCACACCACAGAATTACTGGAGCATGAAAGGAAAGACCATCAGGGAGACTGAAGGCACCCAGGAGATCTCAGGTGTTGTGAGTCCTGCTTCCTCCCCATCCCTCCTGTCTCCCGGCTGGGCTGCTCCCTCCACAGGGCAGGATGAGCGCACTGGAAACTCCAAAGCGTCACCGTCACCGCACAGAAACTCTGCTGATATCCTTCCCCACTGCAGAAAAATTTCTACCTGCAGGTCATGTTCAGGTTAACACTGCTTCCAGGAAAGCAGTGGGGGCCAGAGCCCAGCAAATCATGACCCTCTGCTCCCTGAATTCTAGGAAGGGACTGAGAGGGTGGCCTGCCCCACTGGAAGATGAACCTTAGCCAAGGTCAAGTGGACCCTGGAATTCCAGCACCTCAGAATTGGATTTGGATAAAAGTGGACTCAAATAGGGAGGAGAGACAGGGAAAGGGCAGAAGAAAACTAGGCCGTTCTGGGTTGCTAGATTTTAATAAGAAGAGCTTGACGGTCTCAGGGGGCCATGGGGAAGGAGAGCCCTCTGCCAACCCTAGGCTTGGCTGCAATAACAAAGTGTCCTCCCAGGAACCATGGACCACTGGTGCCAGATCTGAGGAGCTAGAGAGGTGGGTCAGGCAGATGCCCAAAGAGTGGCAGAGAGAAGTTGTTCTGGAGATAATGTGGAAAAACAGGGTTTTAACTGCAGCACGATGAACTGGGATCTATTTTTTCCCTGAGACAGGGTCTCGCTGTGTAGTTCAGGTTGGTCTTGAACTCGCTGCAAACTTCCTGTCTCAGCCTCCCAAGTGCTGGGCTCACAGGCATGCATCACCACATTTGGCTTTTTTCCTATTTTAAAAAGGAGATATAATCCACATCCCACAATATTCATCCATTAAAATTGTAGACTTTAATGGTTTTTAGTATATTTACAAAGTTGTATGCCAATCACCACTACCTAATTTCAGAATATTTTCCTCATTCCAGAAAGAAACTGTCCCCATTAGCAGTCACTTCTCCCTTCCCTCTCCTCCCAAACTCTTGCAACTGCAAATCTGTTTTGTGCATCTGGGACACTGAATAAAAATGAAAGCCTTTTGTGCTTGGCTTCTTTCATTTAGCATGGTGTTTTCTGGGCTCATCCTTGTAGCATAAGCCAGCACTTTCTTTTTCTTTTTATGGCTGAGGAATGTTCCACTGTATGGGTATGCCACATTTTTATTATTTTGTATATTCATTCATCGACTGATAGATATTTCAGTAGTCTACACTATGATGAATAATACAGTCATGAACATTCATTCAGTTTTATTAATAATAAAAAGTGGGACCTACCTGTTAATGTCGCAGGGCTGTATGAGTCTTAAATAAGATGTGGTACCTGGCACCTAGGAGTTTCTTAGTAGACAATTATGTTTATTTCTACTTTAGTTCTTTCAAGATAAGAGGCAGGAAGGAGACTAATCCAGGTTCAAATGACTTCTAAAGTAAGCTATGAAACTTCCAGGTTAAGGGTGTAGCCCCTAGATTGGGAGTGGAACTAGCAAGAGAGTGAACCTCTCTCTCCCCTCTTAGGTTTGCTGCGTGTTCACAGACAAGGCCAACATTGTGCCTGGCTTTGTCTCCGGTGGGCCTTTGTCCCCGCAGGAAAGCAGTCTTCCCTACACAGAGGCACTACTGCACCAATGCAGGTGTCCAGGCCAACCCAGGAAAGCAAGCCCTCCTCCATCTTGACCTCTATCAACTGTGGCCTCTCTGCAACTTGGTTTCCTTCCATCTGTAAAACAGGGATAATACTAGTGTTGGCATATATATATATATATATATATATATTTTTTTTTTTTTGGTACCAGGGATCGAACTTGGGACCTTGCACTTGCAAGGAAGGCACCGGAACCACTGAGCTAAATCCCTGGCCCTAGCATGGAGTTTATATTGTTCTCCATAATACTTATGAACATCTGGCTTACTGAATTTGTTTCTTTGTTTATTGTCTGACCCACTCTATGAAGTCAGGAACTTTTGTTCACTGCTCTGTCTCCCATAACTGGAACAGTGCCAGACCCACGCTAAGTTCTCGATGAATATCTATTAAGGATCATTGATTCATCATTCACCCAACATAAGCATATTTTATTGCTTGGGGCTGTGTTGGGACTGGGGGGCAGAGATTAGTAAAACACTCCCTGAGTCCAGGGCGGTCTCTTCAAGTGGAGGTGCCAGACTTTGCCAAGCCAGATTACAAGGAGACTTGGTAAACAGGGCTTGAGCCTTTACATTCTATCATCTTGCCTGGCAGAGGCAGCTCTCAGAAGGCTGTGCCTGAAACTAACCTGAAGAGATCACTAATGATAACCCATGGCGCTCCCATAGCTTGGCTCCTAGAAGGGAGCAGAGAGGGAAAAGAGAGGAAGCAGAGAAAGGGAGTTTCCTCCTTTTTTTCTTGGGCTCTCAGCCAGGCAGCCACCGGCAAAACTTTGAAAAGGCCTAAATCTGTCCTGGATGCACTTCCCTTGTCCTAGCCCCAGTCCCAGTCTTGAGCCCCTAGGCTGCCTTCCAAGGATTCCAAAAGTAATAAAATGACTCCTTCCCTTCACAGAAGTTTCCAGCCTTCTTGCTTGCAAGAGCCAACCCTGGGCTAGCTGCGAGGTGGAAAGCAAAGCAAACTGGATGGATCCATTCAAACACTGCAGGAATTGCTTCTTGGGATATCTGTTTACTTAAAAGGAAAAGGGCATCTTGAGGAATAGGCACTCTGGCAACAAGCCCCAAACCAAATCCCTGGACTTGTGTCTGCCTTTCAGGAAGTCTTCCCTTTCTTACTTTCTCTAAAGAGGCTGAGTTGAGCGGTTGCTGGGTTTTATAACAATATACAGCTGGTTCCTGTTTCAGAAGGACAAGCCTGAACTCACTGTCCTGCCTCAGGGCCTGGGCTCCATACCTGCGATGTAGACAGTCTTCTACTTTTTAACAAGCTGGACTTGAAGTTGGAGTAAATCGCCTGGTTGAGTGACAGGTGTTTCCCAGGTAAGCCCTCGGGGAGATTCTCCAGTTGGGCAGGACACCTGTCCCCAGAGGCCTGGCAGGCTGGCCTGCTTTGGCAGAGTGCAAAGTGAGGGGCAGCTGGCTTTCCTCTCTTTGGGTCGACAGCCCATCTCAGGGACCGGCCGCTCCCTGTTCTTTCTTCTTTCTCGTTTTAAGCCTCGCGCTGCTCCCCCTCGTCGCTCTGGTCTAGCTCGGTCTCCGCTCGGCCTCAGTCTGGGCTCCGGGCCTCCCCCTCCCCTCCCCCGCGCCGTCATTCACTCGGCTCCTCTCCGCGCACAGCCAATGGAGAGACCGGGCCGAAACGGCGAGGCTCGCTCGCACAGGGCTTTTTCGCTCGGTGATTGATGTCCCAGAGTCAACAGCGAGCGAGCAATCAGAGAGGGGAAGGAGAAGCCGGAGCGGAGAAGAATACGGCGCCCCCTCTGCCTCGCCTCCCCGACCGTAGCCCTCTGCGCACTTCGCCTCTCAGACTCGGTGCTGCCCGGAGCCGCCGACCACCGCCGCCTCCAAGCTCGGCTCGCTCCCCCGGAGCCCAGCGCCGCAAGCGCCGCCCCGGCCCGCCGGGAGGGGACGGGGGCGGAGGGGCGGCATGGAGCACCTGGGCCCGCACCACCTCCACCCGGGCCACGCGGAGCCCATCAGCTTCGGCATCGACCAGATCCTCAACAGTCCGGACCAGGGCGGCTGCATGGGGCCCGCATCTCGCCTCCAGGACGGAGAATACGGCCTCGGCTGTTTGGTCGGAGGCGCCTACACTTACGGCGGCGGGGGCTCTGCGGCCGGGCCGGGGGCCGGGGGAGCGGGGCCCTACGGCGCGGGCGGCCCCCCCGGCGGCCCCCCGGGCGGCCGCGCAAACGGACTGGGCACGCTACCCGGCACATACAGAGTGAACATGGCCTTGGCCGGCGGCCCCGGGCCCGGAGGCGGCGGCGGCGGCGGCGGCGGCGGCGGCGGAGGCGCGCTGAGCGCCCCGGGGGTGATCCGGGTGCCGGCGCACAGGCCCCTGGCTGGAGCCGTGGCCCACCCCCAGCCGCTGGCCGCCGGGCTGCCCACCGTGCCCACCGTGCCCGCCGTGCCGGGCGTCAACAACCTCACCGGCCTCACCTTCCCCTGGATGGAGAGCAACCGCAGGTACACAAAGGACAGGTTCACAGGTGAGTCCGGCCCGCGCGCGCCCCGCCCGGCCGCGGCTCGGGCTCTGCGCTCCCCTCCCCGCCGGTGGCCCCAAGCTCCTCGAGCACGCAGCGCGGGCCCTCTTCGGCGTTTTCCCCGCGTTCGGCGCCCGGCCAGGACGGCCAGGCTCTCAGTTCTCGAAGCCCCGGCAAGACCCTGTTCGGAGCCGCGACCCGTGGTTCCCCTCGGGATCCAGGCCCACTCGGACAGCGGGAAGAGGGCTGTGGCCTCGGGGACACTTTCTCTCCATGTCTGGGGCTCAAGGACCTCAGAGACAGAGCTGCGCTGTGGGCAAAATGCTCCTTCCCTCCCGGCTGGCGCTTTCCGAGGAGGTGGTGAGTCCCTGGACAGATTCGAGGAAGGGACAGGTCCCCGTTCCTGCGCGTCTCCCGCGCCCCGGGCCGCCGTGCTGGCCGCCTCCTTCCCTTCCCGGACTGTGGGCGCCGGCCGAGACCTGTCTGCGTTCTGTCCCGCTCGGCCACTTACCCTGGACCCAGCCCGAGATCTTTGGGGCGAGTGGGGCGAATAATGCCCCGGGCTGGCCGGCTATCGGCCGCGACTCTGGGATGAGTGCGCCTTCGGGAGCGGCCACCTCTTCGCTAGGCCCTCGGCTCCCAGCTCCCTCCACTCCCTCCCCCTTCCGTCCCGCACACTCCCCCTTCTCCAGGGCCTCGCTGCCCTGTCTCCTCACCCTTCCCCGGATGTGAGACCTCGATCTTCCCGCCCGCCGGCCCTGCAGCCTCTGGGAAGCTGCTAGGAATTGTGCGGGGCTCACCACTGGGCCTCGAAGGAGAGGGGTGGCAGGAGGCACAGGCCGCTGCTGGGCTCCCCGAGCTGGGCGCCAGGGCCCAGCTGTGAAAGGGGTGTGTGTGTGTGTGTGTGTGTGTGTGTGTGTGTACGTGTACACGTGCGAGGGCTGAGGCGAGAGAGAGGCAGGCAGCCTACAGCTAGTCTCAGCTAGACGACCCCAAGGTGCCCGGGCCCCCTGCTGCTCTTCCAGGCCACTCCAGCAGGTAGGCTGTTCCCTGAGGCTCTGGCCAATGAAGATCTCTTGCACGCGCCCTTGTATGTGTGTGGGGTAGGCACAGAAAGGGTCTTGCTTGCAGGTCTATGGCCCTAACTGAGGGGCCCCAGTGCCCTACACCCAGTTTCCTTAGCCTGAGGAGGTGGGGCCTGGCGCTCTACCCAAGCCAGCCAGTCTAAGGAGTCTCTGTGACCCCAAACCTGGAACTCCACTCTCGTGTGTGTGTGTGTGTGTGTGGCAGGCACTCTGCACAGGGCCTGCTCGGGGTTCTGGTCTGAGTGGGGTTCTGAGGGAGGGTACGGTTTCGGCCCTGTGAGCCTGAGCCTGGCTCGATTTGGGTGTGTGCTTTGTAGGCCCATGCCTGCTGTAGGCCGTGAGGGCCTGTGGGCCGTGAAGGAGGCGCAGGACCCGACCTAGAATCAGAGGCCTTGATTACCCTTCGCCATGGCGCCAGGGAGGGCAAGGGGAAGGTCGGAGGCTGGCAGGGGAGGCTCAGCGGCGGCTGCAGCGGAAGGGCAGAGGAGCCCCTTTCCCCTTTCCTGTGGGGCTTGGAGCCGAGGGCTGCCGGAGGAGCGGAGGAGCGGAGCGAGGCCTTGCTTAGGGGTTGGGCAGTGTGCTCTCTGACTCGCGGGATGCCGGGCTTGGGACGCCTCCTGACGCTCTGCCGCTTGCCTCTGCCATCTGTCTGTCTCCCGCTCCAGTGGCCCTCTCACCCTTCACTGTAACACGCCGTATAGGTCACCCCTATCAGAACCGGACGCCCCCCAAGAAGAAGAAGCCTCGCACGTCCTTCACGCGCCTGCAGATCTGCGAGCTGGAGAAGCGTTTCCACCGCCAGAAGTACTTGGCCTCGGCCGAGCGCGCCGCCCTGGCCAAGGCGCTCAAAATGACCGACGCACAAGTCAAAACCTGGTTCCAGAACCGGCGGACGAAGTGGAGGTGAGCGGGCCCTGGCCGGGCGGCCCCTTCAGGGGCGCACGCCCTTCCACGCGCTCGTTTCTGACCGGCCCGAGGAGGAGCGGGCTCCGCACAGCCTGGGGGCTGGGAGCAGCCGTGGCTGGGCGGGCTGGGGAGCCTGTGTGTCGCCCGAGGTTTGGGGCTTTCCCACAGCACACTGCCTGGCAGCGCGTCTGGTCTCCCCTGCCACTTGGGCGAACGAGGGTGGAGCTCTGCGGCCCCGACTTCTAGGCTGGCGGAGTCCTGGGGCTTTCTGATGGCTCAGACCCGCGTTTCCCGGGAGCCGCTCTCGGGCCTGGAGATCTGGGGCAGAATGGCCTGCGCCCGCCCCATGCTCCAGCGACCCCGGCAAGCCGGCCCACTGGGCCCTGGGCCGCCCCCTCAGGCGCCGGCCTCCCCGCCGACCCCACGCTTGGCGAGGGGAAAATCAATCCGCGCCGGCTGTGGCGGAGTTTCTCGGGTCCCACTGAAGGGGGATCAATGAGGAGCAGATGGGTGCGCTTGAGAGAGACGTTTTCCCTTCTGCTGTCCCAGCTACACTAGTACGCACTCGGTTTTGTTTTCCCACACGCGTGTACCTTTCCTCCCGGTCTCGCTTGCTTCCTGCCCTCTCCTAAGCTCACGAACTCCTAAGCAGCCCACTCTGCGCACCCCCGAAGCTCTCGCACCTGGCACGCACCCTCCGAGGGTGCCACACACACAATGCGGGGAGAGGGGCGAGAGTCCGGCGAAGTCCCGGTTCGGCCCGCTGGCTGCCCGGGGCGGGAGGAAGGAATCGGAGTTTCCTCTTTTTCTGAATGGAGGCGAGGAATCTGCCTGGGATTCCTTCTTAGGGGCCACAAAGGAAGCCTCCCCGCCCCCCCCCCCAAATTCCTGCCGCCGCTGGGGAGGGGCGGGAACGTGGCCTGAGCACTGGGACCCGGAGAGAGCCAGGGGTCCCTGGGTATTTTCAAGGTTTACTAGGGGCACGGCCTAGGGAGGGGAGGAAGCCAGACCCCCACCCCAAGAGAGAGGGTGCACGGAAAGGCAGCCGCAGGCAAAGAGAAACTGAAACACAAAGGATAGAGACAAAGATGGAGTCCCCTTTCCTGCAAAAAAGGAAAAAGGCAGACTGAAGAAACCTCGTGTGTAATAGAGGAAAGCTTTGGATGGTTAAAATCGCCATTTTCGTTTCAAACAAATTCCCTTAATTCAGAGAGAACGAAGGGGCAGCGATGAGAAAAAACCAGAGTTGAGAGCTCGATGGAAGAGAAACACTCGGGCGATTTGAAAGGCAGGGAAGGAGGAGAGATGAGAGGCAGGGAGACACCCGAGCGAGAAGGCCGGCAGCCCTGGAAGAGGCCCTCGAAGGCTTCGAAAGCAGCTTCATCGATCGCCTACAAATTGCTTTTGGAGGCCCCGGGGACTCCCATTAGGTCTGTCCACCTTAGAGACAGACGTTTGATCTCAGTTGACAGGGTGGAGGAAGGCATTAAATGGAATAAGTGAGTCATCGCCAGCCCAGACCTCCTCCTCCTCCTCCTCCTCCAGGAGGAGGAGGAGGAAACTGGTTGGTGGCGGTGGTGGAGCCCAGCAGGGCACCGCTGGGACAGGAGGTCGGGGCCTGGGAGAGGTTCGCAGAGGAAGGGAGGGGGTCTGGCTGCTGGCCAGTGCGCTGCCCTGTTCTGAGGGGAGGGGAGGCCCCTGGCCCCTAAGGGCTGCAGAGAAGCTGCCAGGGAGGTTGTGGGCAGGCACAGTGGCGAGGCCCGAAGTTGGAGCCTAGCGGGCTTTCCCACTGCCGCATACCCTTCGGGACCCCGCAACGTTGTCCAGTTTGGCAGTTTCCAAGCTCTGTCAGAGTCAGGACCCTCCCAAGGAAGGACTCTGTTAAAGGGACCCAAACTGGTGTTGGAGGCTGCAAAAGAGGAGCGTGCCCCAAGGCCATGCCTTCGCCTGCCTTCGGGAGCACGTCCTGTCCTGGAGGGTAACAGCTTGCTCCCGTGCAGGAGACAGACCGCGGAGGAACGCGAGGCCGAGAGGCAGCAGGCAAACCGCATCCTCCTGCAGCTGCAGCAGGAGGCCTTCCAGAAGAGCCTGGCGCAGCCGCTGCCCGCCGACCCCCTGTGTGTGCACAACTCCTCGCTCTTCGCCCTACAGAACCTGCAGCCCTGGTCTGACGACTCCACCAAGATCACCAGCGTCACGTCGGTGGCCTCGGCCTGCGAATGAGCCCGCTGTTCCACCCGGACCGGCCAAGTAAGGCCGCCTACGCCCCAGCCAAGACTCCCCTCCCTCTCCTCCTCCGACTGCGACTGCAAGCAGGGGGAAGGCAGAGCCCGGCACAGGCCCGCCCGCGCTCTGCCTGACTTGCCTCGGTGGAAGAGAAGAGAAGAGCACTGTACACAGGGCACACATGGGCACCCGCCTCCTCCCGAGCCTGCACCCCATGCCTGCCAGGACCGTTCGGAACCTCTCAGTTTTCCTCTATTTCATTTTATTCGGATTTCCGCAAGGGACGGAGAGGTCAGGGAGGTAGTGGTGGAAGTGCCTCTGGGACCCCCGAGGCTGCCGCCTGAACTTGCTCTGAGGAGCCCTCTGTCTCCCTCCTTGTGCACAGCAGAGGCCCGCACTGCGGTGTCACTGTCCCAGAGCCACACTGGCAGAGTGTCCTGCACACACAGGGTCGTAGCTTACACACTGCTGAGCCCACGACTGGGAACAGGCCGAGGGTGACCCGCACCCACTCTGCAGCATGGTCCCCTCCCGCACAAGGCCACCCTAACCACCGACACCCAGAGGCCTCACCCGGCCCCTGGGCCCCACGCATCCCAGCTGAACCCAGGTATGCAGACAGGCTGCCACAGACTCAGCCCATCCTCAGATCCCATTTGTAAAGGGGAGGTTTAAATTATGCACTTATAAGGTGTTTTCTGTGTACCATTTTATAAAGTGCTTGTGTAATTTATGTGGAAAAAATAATAAAACCCTCCGGATCCGGAGTCAGGGCTGCCTGCTCCTTGCTGAGCCTAACATCTTGCAGCTACTTGGGTTTGGTGGAACTGGGGCTTGGGGGGCAGTGCTGGTGCCTCAGCTTGAGAGATACTGGGTGGGCAGTGCCCTCGGGCTCTGGAGAGGGCTAGGCTCTCCTGGAACTGCTAGTGTTTGAGTTGTGTGTGTGAGTGTGTTGTGTGTTTGTAGTAGTGTGGGCAATCAGGGTGTTGCCAATAGTCAGTGTTTGTGATGGTGTCTAAGTGTGCAGTTGGGTTTGCAATTCTTGCATGTAAGTGCTTATTTCCGTTTAAATTGAAAATCGAAACTATCACTGTACGCATAGCTCATGGTGGTGTGGCCACCCGTTTCTGTGAATGTGTATGAGTTTGTGAGAGCATGTATTAGTTTCTCTGTGAATCTATTTTGGTTAGATGTGCGAATGTCTATGGCTGTGTGTCATTAATTGTGTTAATTGTGCACGTAGTTGTGTGTGAGAAAATTGTGGGGAGGGAGCCGTGTGTTTTAATGCGCTGCATGCGCTTGTGTGTGACAGTACATAGCTCAGGCACTGGGGGCAGTGGGGTGCTCGTCGGGGAGACAGTCCCTGTGGTACAGGTGGTGGTGTCTGAGTGCAACTGTCCACTGAATGTGTGTGCAGCGGTGGGAATCTGAGGTGGAAATGCAGGTAACTGGGGGAACCCGTATTTGCTAGGAGTTCTATGGCTCTGTGCCCTTCTCAGCAGGCTGCAGAGACAGGGTGGGAAAACCAGGAATGGGAGCCAGGATGCTCACTGTCCTCTGGGTGGGACTCCCACCTCACAGCATTCGCTGGCCTGTGAGGAGTCTGAAGTGCAGTCCCAGGACCTTCAGGGAGACCGGAACAGCAGTACACACCCCATGCATTTAGTTCCTGAGTGCCAGACCAACTGCAGAACAACTTCTTTTCTGGAAGAAGCTGGGTATTGGTGAATCTGGGGAACCCATTAGGCTAGGGACCAGTAGAGTTGGAGGACAGGAGCTTTTCCTTTGGGATTGGAGAGTGAGCGAACTCTGCAGCTAGAAGTAGAGGTCAGCAGGGAGCAGAGCGTGTGCAGGCGTGCACTGAGTACCCTGCAACTGATCAGTACCCTCAGGGCCACAGTCCTAGTCCTGCCCTGGCAGCCAGGAAGGGTGCACTACAACGATAGCAAGCACAGCAGCCTCTGCCCAAGGAATCCCAGGGGAAAATCGCCTTGTGGCACTTGGGTTCCCTCACCCATCTCTCATCCGTGGGCCTCCTGGATCTCAGCAAAAGAGGGTTCTAGGTCTAAAGAACGTGGCTGTCTTCCCTGCCCTCTCTCTCCAGGTCAGGACATCTAGGCAACCTGTGTACGAGACTGGGGAGAGGCTCTGGAGGCAGTGCTAAGTCTGCAGCAGGGCCGAGCCAAGAAAAGTCTGGAAATGGCCTTAAACTGCAGAATTACTCCATCTGGGCCATCTGGCTGTCCCCACCCATCCAACAGGACGGGGGCCATCAAATCCATGTTTGCTTTGCGGGGTGCATTTGTCTCCTCCATTTGCATCTTTGAGACTCAGGATCAGCCTCAGGCCCCCCTCTGCCAGACTCCAGGAAAGACTGACTCACCTGACACCCCAGTTCCCAGGAGCATGCTGTCTGGAGGACCAGGACCGGGATGGTTTGTGGTCATAGACTATCCAACCCAAGAGTCGGGGCAGAGGCAGGGAGCGGCTGGCAGCCCAACACAGCCTCTCCAATCCGGTCCCAAAGCCCAGGCTCCTCACCCCAATCCGCCCTCTCCCAAAACAAAGCAGCCTCAATTGCCCTCCCCTGCCCACTTCAGCACTTGCAGCCCTGAAGTCTGGAGCAGCTCAGCCCCACGTCCTCAGACCCCTCCCAGCAGATCTATCCAGGGCTCCGCAGGAGCGGACATTCGAGCTGCCCCACTGGCCAGCCTATCTTGTGCTCGCTCAGACTCTCCCGCCCCTCTGACCCTCCTGGGCCCTGGGCGAGACTTCCCAGAGGCGCCAGACTCCTGGAGGTGTTGGGACCTCGAAGGATTCCTAGCTCTCCGCCCAAAATTCGTTAGGACCGAATCTCAGCGAATCCCGTGTGGGCCGAGCAGCCCGAGCCTCGGTCGGCTCAGGAGCAGAATGGCTAGATACCAGTTAGGCCTGCGGGTGGGTGGGCTGGCTGAGCGCAGGGCCTGGAACCTGGGGGCCATGAGGGTCAGAGTCAAGGCTAACTGCTCCAGGAGGAGAGATGCAAACTCCTGGCTTTCCAGGGCACCTGCGGGAAACGATCGCTCTCTGATCAAAAATAAAAAAGGAACAGATCGTCGGAATAGTTGTGGGAAAGGGTGGCGGGAGAGGAAAAGAAGAATTAACAAACCTGTCTGGGCAGAAAGTCCCCCTTCCTTCCTCAGCCCAAGAGAGCCACGGTGCTGACCAAGCTCCACCGCCTGCCTGCAGCCCTGGTGGGGCAGAGACCCGGCCAGCCCCGCGGGCGCTTCGTGGATGGCGTCCCGGGCCAGCGGCAGAGCTGGGTGGTGGGTGGCACGGAGAATCTGGCTCAGCCTGTTAACTGTAACAGAGGCTTTGTGTCGCAGATCCGTGCTCGGGGGCTGTGGAACCTCTGCCTGAGAACTGCTGGCCCTGAGAGGCCCCCACAGCAGGTCGGGGTTTGGCTGTCCCAGGATTCAGATGGGCGCCCTGTTTGTGATGTGCGTGGCCTGTAGGTGGCCAAGGTGGGAGGCAGGTTCCTGCTAGGCCCCGTCTGCCTCCCATTGGCGGTGGGAGCTGGAGCGCTGCGTCCCCGCCCCAGCTGTGGCCCCTCCCTCAAGCTCTGCACCCTGCTTCCCCGTTCCACTTTCACACACTCCCCTCAGACCTGCTTCACCCCAGGACTTCTTTGCAGCCCAGGGGCCGCCGGGCCATGGCCTAGGCAACTCGCCGGAGCTGCTACAACTTTCCCAGTTGGGCTCACAATGGCCCATCCCGTGTCTCCTGGCCCCAGCGCAGTCCCGGCCTGGCTGGACGAAGGAGGTCCTCAGACGCTGCCCACTGCCCCTTCCCCTGGATTTCTAGATCTGGGGAATAAAGACGGGAACAGCCTGAGGGAGGGCTGGAGCCAGGTCGGGTTTTCCAAGGAGCGCAGAGCAAGTTAGGAAAGGCGCTTGGGGCAGTGTAAGGACGTGGCCAGGTGAGTGCGGGAGCAGAGCGTCCATATTGTGCGAGGGCTGGGCACAAACACATCCCGCACTCACCAGCTCCACTGCCACGTACAACCTCCAGGGCCCCTCCAGCTCCGCAACGTCTAGGGTGTGCAGAGACACACGGGAGCTACAGGTGTGCGTGGCAGGAGCGGAGCCAGTCCCGCCGCCGCTGGCTCCGCGGGCGGTTCCCGAGTCCCTCCCTCCCCAGCCTCCGCGGAAGCTCGGTCCAACTCGACTCCTGGGCGCCTGGGGCCCAGCTTCGGCTCCAGCCTTGCCGCGGGCACCGCAGGCTCCCGGGACTGGGTTTGGGGACGCCAGGCCGCCCGGTTCGGCCCAGCATCCCAGCGAGGTCCCCAGACCCGACCGAGGAAATGCGGTCTCCCGCGGAGAGGCCTGGGCCGTCCCGCCCGCGCCCCAAGGGGAGGCCTTGGGAGGAGAGGCCCAGCCTCCTGCTTCCCACCCCGGCGTCCCGGAGCCCGCTTTTCCTCGGGGCCCGTGGGAGGAGCCTCGACACCCGAAGGCTCCGGCGGCGCTGCGCGGGAGCTGGGCCTGGGCGCCGCCAAAGCGGGAACCAGCGGGTTCCGGGCGCCCTCTAGGGGCGGCGCGGACGAAGCGCCGGAGCCCGGCCGCGAGTCGGAGGTCGCCAGGCCGGCTCGGGGGCTCCGCTACCGCGGCGGGGTGGGGAGAACGGCCGACGGCACTGAGACGCTGAGAGGCCGACGGCACTGAGACGCTGAGACGCGGCGCCACCGAGCGTCTGCGGGGCCAGGCGCCGCACTAGACCAGACAGAGGCCGCCATCCTGGCCGCCGCCCCGCGGGGCAGTGGTGTTTTCGTCCTACTTCGCAGTCAAGCAAAATGGAAGCTCAGACCGGCAGCTTTGCCTAAGAGCACGCAGCAGCCAAGCGAGGAGGCCAGGGCCTGCGGGAGGGGCGGCCTCGGGCAAGACGCGTGCACTCGGACGGCCTCCTGCGGGGCGCGGGCTCCTAAGCTGCCCCGGCCAGCCCTGCCTGCGGGCCCCGCTCTCCGGGCTGTCTGCCCACCCGGCCGCTCCTCCTCCGCACCGACCGACAGGAGCCCACCCTCCGGGGCTCCTCGCCGGCAAGGGGCTTCTCTTCTCTTCTCTTCACTCCTCTGGGGCAGTGGGAGTCGGAGGACTCAAACTATCAGAAAGTGAAAAATAGAACTGAATGAATCACTCCATCAGACAAAGGGATGGAGGGAGAACCAGGAAGGAAAATCTCTCCTCCCTCTTCCAGCTGCTCCTGCAAAGCCTGTGGCTGGGAAGCTGCTCTGGCTGCAGGGTGGTGGGGCCTGGGGCGGGCAGAGGCTTGGAGGCCAGCAAGTTCGCAGAGGTGTTCCCGCTGATCTTTCCTAAGGTTCAGTCACAACAGACGAAGCAGAGAGAAGCAGCCCTTCCCTCCTCGCCTCCTTCCAGGGCAGCAGAGGAGGTTCCAGTGTGGAAGAGTCCCGGGAAAGCTCTTTTATATATAATATAAGATATTTTCATTCATACACAGCCCCTGCCAGCGCCTCAGACTTTCACATGTGCACCTTTACGCTGCACATCTTGTTAAAACGCAAACCCTCTTTATGAGGTCTGGGGAGGGCTTGAGGCTCCACAGGCAGACTAACCGGGCCCCCAGCTACCACCCACTCTGAGGTCTGTCGGCCAATTACGGGCAGCAGGCCTGTTTTATTTGCTCAAGAGCTTTTTCCCAATTTCCTTTAAAAGAATGAAAGGTAGGGGCAGAGTTGGTAACCCTTCCCTCAGGATGCAAGCCAAGGGCCTCACCACTCCCTGCTGACAGCTCCGGGACAGCTGCTTTCCCGGTTACCTGCGTGCCCTCAGACCTGGTCTCCCTCTCCCTCTTCACCTGCTCTTTCTAAAGCCCTCTTTCACTCCCAGGCAGCTAAGTGTCTTTGGGTATAGGCCTACATGTTGAGCCTGGT